TATACATATACAAACATGTAAGCATGCACACATAATGCATATAAAAGGTGCAAGCAGTTTGAACATGCACATTGCAGTCCATGACACTTATTATCATTCCCTACTAAAATATTTTTTACAAGAATATCAGATTTTATCCTAAAATTCAAATATCTAATTGAAGGGTTGACCAAGACGTACAATGAGCAAGGAAATCACTAAACAAGGAAAATAATTTATTGAGACACAAGGACTGTGCTAACCCTCAGAACTCCTTTTACTTTGACCAGTCCTATTAATGTTGTACTATGTTTGTAATGAAAAAATAATGCCACAGGTCTGAGCATTTATTTCCCTACTAATAGAGCACTACTACTAATACAGCACCAAGAAGGTGGCAGAGGACTGACAACTCCAGCTTTCGAGGGCTAGGGTAGTCACAAAAATTGTATTGCATGACAGGACATTATCCATTTGACTTCACTCATGTTCACCTGTTGAGGTGATTTTCATTAGTTTATTTGTTCACATTCAGACTGAGCGCAACATATTAGCAGCACTACAAATGTTTCAACTTTTATACCCCCTTAGTAATGAAGCTGAAACAAGTATAGGACAAGTGAATTCAGCCAGAAGCCTCCATGTTGTTCCAAGCACAGCTTTTCCTAAGAATGTAATGTAGCACTGGGTTTGGCATTTGAGATAATCCAGCAGTTTTCTATTTCTCATACCTTCTGTAATTCATATTTTTTATGGAGGTCACAAAAAGGCTATACAGCACAACTCACCATAGAGCAACCACAGTACAATTTGCTACAGTGCTTGCTGTAGGTCAGGGGTGCCCACAAGGTCGATCGCGATCTACCAGTCGATCGTGTAGCGATCACTGGTAGACCGCCATGTCCTCTCCTCCCGCCGCTTCTCTGGATCCCCGCTGCTCTCCCCAGCGGGGATCCGAGAAGAAGTGAAGGAACTGGCGGCGGGGGAGGATGGAGCCGCTGTCACAGAACTAATGTAGAGCAGTGAGGAGAGAGAGAGAGAGAGAGACGCTCGGACAGGATCTAACAGCCGGCGCCTCTCTCTCCCCTCACTGCTCGTCCGTTCTGTCACAGCGGCTCCAACACCCCCCCCCCACGCCACGCCCCCTCCCGCCCCTGAATGCAGGTGTTTTTTAGTTGGTAGATCTCAATGAGCTCGTCATTTGAAAAGTAGATCTCCAGACGAAAAATAGTGCTGTAGGTGACACAGTGCATCCCATTACAGGGCTTATTGAAAAAACAAGAGCAAAGAGCAATGGTTTGTGGAAAAACAAAGCAGTTAATCAGACATCAGCATTCAGCAGGTTGATAAAATTATAAAAGCTGACGTGATTGGCTGCTATAGATTTAGAATGCACCATAGATCTTAACACTGGATTATTAGATATTTCTATATATGGCCAATTCACAACATAACGTAAAAACGTTGTCCAAGCTAAAGCAGAATTGTATATGTTGCATCATACACATTAACCAATCAGTTCTCCATGCTAAATGAAGATGGATGTTACAAGTTTGCTTCTGAATAGCAATACAGGCACAGCGAACAAAAATTATTTTTTTTAAATAAAATAATCAGGGTGCTTCAGTGTTCACTACTAAACAATACAAACTGTATAGTATAGTAGAGCTTTAAGAATTAGGTTTGATACGGTAAAAATATTTTAGTGTATAATTTAACACATAGCAATGTAGCAGATGGCAGACAATAAGGTTCACACTTATGCAGATACCAATGTTTCCATACTTAACAGCAGTGAAGTACATTACCAGTAATGAGGATGTGAACACGGCTGCAATGTGCTCACATACACTAAAAATGTGCATGATGCACTGTGAGCACACCTGACCACATTGCCCATCAAGTACAGTCATCTGCTGATTCCCAGGTCTTACATACCAGCAGACCACCAGGATACTGTTAGGGCCACGGAAGCAAAATAGGAGAAGTGGCCCCATGGGATTGTCGCAGGGGTGTACAATCCCATGTTAGAGCTGAGCTCCATGCAGATATAAAAGGCACAATTTAATGGAGCTTTTTATTTATCCTACATCATCATGTGTTTTTATGCAAACAATAAAAGTATGTGAATCTGACTGTCTCAGCCTTTGTCATCCACTGTATGTATAGCTGAGCTCAGATTGGGAGAGGGAGAAGCAGCGCAAGGAACCAATCTTATGGGCTGCAGTCTTCATGTACTACCAAGGAACATGCCGATAGAAGGAGAGTGCAGAATGACAAAAATGAGCTCATCAGTCTGCCGTTTCTCCTTTTTACTGTCCATTCACAGGCTGGGGAGAAGGCGCAGCTGTATTAGTTAAATGCAGTAGAATAAGGGCAGGGCATGGATCTGACTGTGCTGCCTGTCAGGGGTGTGTAAATCCCAAGATTGGGTGGAAAGAAATGCAAATCCTTTGGGAGATGAACAGCTCCCTTATATGTATTAAATCTATGCTTTTGGCTGCTGTTCTAGAGTTCAGCTTTAAACAGTATCTTATATATGTATAATATATATTTTTATGTAATATATAACTTATAATATAATAATATATCTTATTGCTGTATAAAAAAAAAGCTTCCTATATAAATCCAGATTAGAAATCACATTTATTAAAAAAAATACCTCAACTTTTTAAATGTTATATTTATTTAAAAAAATTATAATAAGTGTAAGCTGTCATCTGGGTATGAAGGTAACAGGTATCGATGAAGCAATACCTAGCTAGTAAAGTAACATTGAGAAAATGAATGTGCAAATAAAAGGGAAACCTTACAAATGTACAATCTGTCAGGATCACATTTAACTGAGTTTAGATAAAATCTTTGTGATCTACACATACTGTATCTTTGCACTATTTTCTGCTTCTCTAGCATTTTGGGTGGTCATTGGAGCTCTGCATATGCATGTGCATTATTTCGATGGACTGAGCATCATCATGCTTTTTGAAATCCTTACTAGGTGTACGTAAAAGCATTACTTACACATGCACTGTGTAATGAATTCATACAAGATACAAGTAATGATGCTGTATTATTTCATATTTTAGGTGATTAGTTGGGGTGAACACACTAAAGCATCCTGATATTGGTTACAGGAATACAATATGGAAGCAACGCAGTCATATATTGAACACAAAGTTTAGGATCACCTGCTGTGGTCTCGCTCAAGACAAGGAGATATGTGGCTGCAACAGAACAGATTATTTAGCAGTGAGAAAGCACAGAAAGAGGAAAGAAAGAAGTTAAGAAAACCTTATGAAATCTAGATTGGGCTACATTGTCCAATGTTTTCTACAGAGAAATGTATATGATGTCAATTTCAGTCATTAATGCAGTCATGTTTTCCTATTATTGAATATATATATATATATATTTATTTTATAACTGTATTCCCACAAACTTCACCCAAGATTCACACAGTTCCAACTAAACTCAATTACAAAATTGTCTGAATCCTGAGTGAAAGTTAAGTGATTCTTTATATGAAAACATTTATAAATAGACCCCTATAAGTGATAAAGTGCAAAATGTACCAGCCTGACAAGTGCCAATAACACTTATAATATAATGATGTAATCAATACAAAATTGAGTCTAAAGATCTAATGCTAAGGCCCCTTTCAGATGGGTGGTCCAATCAGGTCCACCTGTCAGTTTTTCAGGGTTTCCATTTACATCCAGTTGCCCCTGGCTCCGGCCAGATCCAGAAAAACAGAACAGTGTTCCATTTTGCCGCACCTAATCATGCTGGATTGGAGGGCAATAACAAAAGATGGTGTTCCAAAGTATCAACCAGTGCAATCTATGTATGTGCTCAGCAAGCTCCATCCAATGTGAGTTGTGGCACTTTTTGTAACTGATTTAATTTTGAATAAAATACTACACTAAGTTCAAATTCTTATGTATCATCTTTGCGGGTTGGACAATATAAGGAATAATGCTATTCGATTATTAATGATTATTTTGTATTGGATGCAAATTCTGCTTCTATACTGGGATGCATCTGTGGATATAGACTACCAACTTCTGGACGGTCCCTGGTGAGTGTATACATCTCAGGGGAAACCATTGGTAAAGAATGTTTGAATACTAGTGGAAGACTCTGGAACACAGTTGGGGGCTGATTTACTGAAGGATTTGAGAATGTTCATACAATAAAATGTGTGAAGATTCACTTCAATTATAATCATGTAAAAAGAAAATCCTTATTTACTTATTTCATCTGCACATGATTGGATCATTGAAGTGAATATTCACACAATTTATTATGTGAGCATTCTCAAATCATTTAGTAAATCATCCCATTGGTTTGACTGCAGTGTTGACACATAGAAGATTTCATATTACACTTGAATAAAATTATTGGAGGTCTAATAACTTGATCTATACACATTTTATTCAGAATTGATTACTTTATATTGTTCATGTATATATGTGTACAGTAAAATGAGCACTTTTAAGGATAGGAATACTTTGATACTATAGTGTAGAATATATAGAGTTTTCAATTACTGAGAGATTTAACCACCTGTTGACAACCATTCTATTGGCAGCATATTGATATCAACATGTTGCAAATGAGGAGACTCATCAAGCGGTTACACCTCTCAATAGCAAGATTCAAATCACCCATGTATCCAAAGACTATAACATTTACTCTCAAAATTGATTCTGTCACAATTACATAGAACATTAAGGGCCGATTCACATATTTGCTTTGCAGTAATGTGTGCACCACAGTGTGGTGCGTTGTAGTGGTATTCACTTTAAATGGCACCCCAAAGCATATTCTCAACACACCACAACGGACCTGCATTTTAGCCCAGCACCACACTAAGATGTGAAACATCTGTGTTTTGTGATGTGGTGGGGAAAAAAGTTGCCCGTGGTCCAATGTGGGACACTGCCAGTCCACTCAGAGGGAATGCACCCCAAAGTTGTGATTTTATATAGCTTAAGCTTGAGTACAGACAAAAACAACTTGCTTTCAGACTTACTAACTGATCCATATCATTGTATATAATTTGTTTAAAGGTATTTCTGAAAACAAACCTAATGTAAACCAAGAATACATTTTGTACTGATAATCGCTGACATAATCATCTGCTCAGTTGTGCTCACATTGCAGACTTATTCAACTAGGCAATGCAGCAAGAAAATCTAACAAAGTGTAGTTACATAAGTGAGCTATAGTCTCACAACTGAAACATGAGGTGTGATTGTTTGGCATCAATAAGTACACTTTACTCTTTGCCCTACTGAATGAGCCTGCTGGTTGAAAAACCCATGTCAGTGTGATATAAGATTTATCCATTCCAAGGCCAAAAATTGGTTCAGTGCATTCACACTACAATAGAGTGATTTCACACTAACCAAATTAGTTTAACATTTCATATTATATTTCCTTACCATATATTAGTATGTCAGGCATGCACATATCACAAAGTGTTACTCACAATCCCACACACAGGATGAGTCAAGTGTGAATATAACTACATCTCATACAGGAGAATATTAAGGCTGGATTCACACTGTTCCATGTGGTAATGCACATGTGTAGGAATGAATAAGCCCATATAGTTTACCTTTCCCATTAAACTGCATCACATGGCTGTGAACCAGCAACATAGGGAAGAATTCGATTTCTACTTGCAGTGCACCTTCATGCAGCAACATGCATGATTTTTAGTGCATGAAAACAGACAAATGTAAATAGGCCCTTAGAGGTCTACTCACAAAGCTGCCGAAGGATCTAGCCGTAGCTTCGGCCGATCCTTTGGCTAGTTTTGGCCCCAGGACCCCTTCGGTTCAGTAGAACCGAAGGGGTGCTGTACGGGCTATTCACTATAGCCCTACAGCTTCCGAACGTGGCCGAGCGGCTCAGTCGAGCCGAACGCATATGCCTCTGCTCAGCTGCGCTAAAACCCGAAGCTAAGAACCATGGAGCGATGTCAGAATAGAGAAAAAAAAAAAAAAGTCCCATTCAAAAGCATTGGGACATTACTATTGGCTATTTCTATTGCAATAGCCAATAGTAAACTAGCATTGTACCCGCCCTCTTTTGCAGTTCCCCACCAGGTCCACCAGCAGAGGGCGGGAACAATGCTAGTTTACAGATCCGAAGCCACACGAAGCAAGCCGATGTACGGCTGATTTCAGCCGATATACGGCTGAAATCAGTCATTCACTGATGATCGGTCATTCACTCGGCTGCCCTCGGCAGCTTTGTGAATAGACCCCCTTAGTGTTTTTCTTTAGATTTGAGCAATACTGCCATCTGCTGGTAATACTAATAAATGTCTTCCACACTACATTTGGTGACAAGCACAAGCAATACAAGTTCATGTTCTGTCATCCATTAAGGAATAATTCAATTTCCAGCATAATTTCTCAGAGATATAATCCCTATAGGCTAAGTACATTGTATACGCTGAGGTATACTCACCCAGAATGGATTGGACTAGAAGAAAGTGCAACATTGTCTAAATTATCGTTCCCCCAGCTTAGACGATAAGTGTTATGCTCTGCTTTTGTCAGGTATGAAACCTAAAATAAAAAATGATATAAATAACTACAACAAACTTATTTCATACAGATAAACTTTTTTTGGTTGTTTTAATGTAGAGATTGAACCATAGTCAGGTTTTCACTGTTTGAAAGTCTGGAGGGGATTTCCCCTAACTACCTGTGTTGTGACTATTGAAGGGAAATCTCCACAACAGGAGTACAAGCAGCAATAAAAACCCTTACAGGGTTACAAGGGTTCTAACCATTACCCACTCTATCCAAAACTAAAAAAAAAGTTTTGGCTATCGTCCCATCTTTATAATTAAGGTTCCAATTTGTAATAAACATACAAAGGAGCATCTAAAATGGCTCAAAACAGAGAAGGGTGATACCCAAAATAAAAACTACTAACACTGTAGGAGAGCTCCAGTAGGAAAAACAGTCTAGTAAACGTAGATAGCCTAAGGATGAACTCCAGACAGGCAAATGTATACAAAGATGAAATACATATTCGGGAGGCATATATAAGGGAGGCATTTCACCTGCCAAAAGGATTTTTCAATTTTTCTGTGCCTATAATGGGCACGTGAGTATCAAACCTGGACCACGGAGCAATGGAAGAAGGTGGTCTGGTCTGATGAATAAAATGCATTTTACATCATATGGTTTTGCGGGTGCGTTTTTGTCGCATACCTGGGGAAGAAATGGCACCAGAATGCACTATGGGAAGAAGGCAAGCTGATGGAGGCAGTGTGATGCTTTGGAGAATGTTCTGCTGGGAGACCTTAGGTCCTGACAAGTGCCACCTACAATAACTAAACATTGTTGCTGACCTAGTGCACCCCTTCATGGAAAAGGTATTCCCTGATGGCAGTGCCCTCTTTCAGCAGAATAATGCGCACTGTCACACTGCAAAAATGGTTCAATAATAGTTTAAGGAACACAACAATTAATTTGAAGTGTTGACTTGGCCTACAAATTCTCCATATTTCAATCCAATCAAGCATCTGTAGGATGTGCAGAAAAAACAAGACCAAGGCCCCACCTCGCAAATTACAGAACTTAAAGGATCTGCAACTGATGGTTTGGTGCCAGATACCATAGCATTCCTTAAGAAGAGTACATGCCTCGACAGGTCAGAGCTGTTTTGGTGGCAAAAGGGGGCCTACTTAATATTAGGTGGGTGGTTATGGCTGATTAGTGTGTGTGTATATATATATTATATATCTCCTGTATATAATGATGTATCAATAAATATAGATTTACATTAATGCGTATTTTATATCTGTCTGGAGTTCAGCTTTAAGTTTGCACACAGCGGTTTATTTATTGTGAGCTGCAGCTAAGGGTAAATGTATAATTCTTAATAGGTGCATGATAATGGTTGAATGGAACTTGGTCGTGGGCAATAGCTAGTTTGTTTTTCAGATGCTTGTCATCATCTGAGAAAGGCTTAAAAGGCATAGTCTATCTTTTGCAAAAATGTAGTAAATGCACCCCCTACTGATATAATAAAAAAGGTGCATTTACTACATTTTTGCACTGAGGTCTGATGAGCATTGCCACTATGATAAGTGCATCGTGGGTGCAATTCACAGACTCCTGCATTGTGTACCCACAGCTCCAGGTCTATATGAAGGTATGGACCTATTGTTATGGGACTGGAGGAAGTTCTGGCTGGACTACAATTGTTGTGACATCACCACCCTGCTGCCGCCATGCGCTGCTGAATCCCACCTGCTGGGGTGCGAGATGAGATTTATTTTATTTTCACTGCCCAGCATTTAAGACACCAGAGGAAAATTGTTGGCCATGCTCTGGATTTTTAGTGGCATTGACAAGCTCATCATTCACGCTGAAACAGAAGAGTCATACACCCATCTCTGGCATTACACACTTGGGTGAAGCTGAAAATACCCAAAAAGCAAGTATGATTTTGTTAATGTTCAGATTTCAACAAATCAGCTCCTCCGCTGTTCACCTTTCCCCCCAACTGTCAGACGATGAGTTGGCCAAGTTTCCTCTGGTGCATGGAAAGTTGGGACTTGTAGAGCACAGGATTGTACTTCCTGTGTACTCGTTCCTCTATAGGAGGCTGGATGGTCACTTAGTCATTTTGGTTGCTTTTAGTAACAGAGATAAGCCAGGCAGACCAGACCAGGAGTGTATTTTATGTGGAAAAAGGGTATAGCATATCACTGATGTAATAACTGTATAAGGCTCATTGCAACGTTGATTTTTTAAAACAAAGATACAGTTGTCCTTTAAGAAGAAGTCTAATAACCACACTTATAACGTTTCAATATCAAATATGGAAACTTTTTCAGATCTAGTGCTACTTCCCACCCAATTTACTGATGTATTTCACTGAATACAGGTTTACATTAATAGAATTTAAAATGCAAAGAAGAGCAAGCCTATAAAAATGTAACAGTTATATTTAAAAAAAACACAATATTTGCTCAGAATATGTCCTTAATGAAAATACACTATTACTCATTTAGAACATCAAAACATTTCACGTATATGAGTGATGCAAAAAGTTAAAACAATCAATGAAAGTACCCACCTGGTCATGGGGTATGATAACAGTATCATCTATCATGGCACTGCCTCTGAGGTATGAGGAATGGCTCATCGTGTGGGACCTGTCTGAACTGAAGGATCGCAGGCTGGTCGGTTCACATATATACACATCAGCAGCAATGTTGGGTTTGGGAAGGTGGGATGGAAGGACAAGCCAAAGAATGACACCATTAGCCACTAGCATCTATGCAGCTTCCAGGGGAGACTATGAAGTCTCAGAAAGACCACATTCAAATGCTTTTAATGCATTAAAAATAAAACAAATTAATGTCAGTAAAATATAGCATCAGAAAACAGGAACCTTAATATAGAGTGTGGTCTAATATCAGAGAATACAATTCTTTAGAACAATTGCTTCTGGATAAATATGTATACAAAGAGTAACATTAAGGGTAACTGCGTGTACAATGAAATACAGAACAACCCCTGGAAGATACAAACTGCACTGACACTGAATCAGCTTCATGCTCTTTTAACGTCATTTTCATGATGCTGATGCCAAAGACACAAACAAAACATATAAAGCATCACACAAAAGCCGGGTGCTGGATTTCACAAGAATACATAAATAGACAACATTAGGAATGTCACAAGGAACTGTGAATCAAATAACATTTTAATAAGAAAAGCCACAGCTATAAAAAATACAAAAGCATTTGTGTATCTTGGTCATACAAAATTGTGAAGGAATTATGTAACGAACAAATTAAAACCTGAATGTATTCCATATAAACGTAAATGGCCCCCAAACCCTTAACCCTGGTGGGTAGTTTAATAAAGGGGTGATTATTATAGTGACCCATAAGAGCCAGTCAAAATCAGTGACTTCTTTTGTGTTTTCGGTCGGCTAATTAGGTGTTGGAAAAATTCTTACAGAAAACTAACTATGAAGTGACAAATAATTTATACTGTTGATTTGAACAGGATGAGGCAATGCAGGGGCTATCTTTATAACATAAATGACTGCCCGAAAAAAGTTAATGTTAATAAAGTGATAAAACATCGACCATATTAAACATTCTGTTCATTTCTCCTTGCCCTCAATTATGATATGAATCATGTCGCAGTTCTTATAGTAGCACTTGGTGTTGATTTACTAAAGGACTAGTTCATTTTCACCAGTCACCATTTTCACAAAGCTAACAGGGTTATTAACTAAAGGGTGAAGAGTTTGGGGAAGCCAGGAGAAGTGAACAATCTAGGACAACATTATAACATTGGAAAAGTTCTCCAATACAGTTAACTTTCCAGTTCAGCTATGTTGTCCTAGATTGTTCACTTCTGCCTTCTCAAAACTCTTCACCCTTTTGTAAATCCTCCTCAGTATATACGTGGATCACATGTAAAAATTATCAGATTATTCCTGATAATGATTTAAAATGTACATGGAATTGTTGTTTTCTATACCACATAATATTTTTATCTGCCACAAAAAAAGACAATGCCCATTATGCAGCACAGTGGCTTAATGTTAACACGCAACATAAAGGTAGTGCTGTGAAGGTCACAAATAGCATTTTTATGGAAGAAAGAACATGTATGCTGGGTGGTACGGGGTGAACCTAGGGAACACAGTCATCTCATGCAATGTCATACCTACCTAGGCATAGTACTGTGGGATTAAATCCATATAAATGGAAGGGAGAAAAAGAAAGGAAAGAAATAAGTGATAGGAAAACTGTTAGGAAATGGAGGGTAACTGTTGCATTAGTCAAAGAAAACAAGTAGTACATAAACCATAAAAAAAAAAAAAAAAAAAAAAAAAAATTGGGGGTTTAAAATTAAAAAAAAAAAAAAAATAACAAATAAAACATAAAAAAAAAAAAAAAAAAAAAAAAGTTGGGTAGTTAAAATTAACAATTTGGAGTGAAATGAGAGTGCTGGTGATATTAGTGACATTGTTTTTACTATAGTAATTCCTATTGCTAAACATTCTTCCTGCAGTGTAAAAATCTTCAAGGGTGTGTACTAGTAGACTGTGGGTTGCTATAAACAATACTATGGGGGGAATTTATCAAAACTGGAGAAGACAAAATCTGGAGCAGTTGTCCATGGCAACCAATCAGCTTCTCTCTTCAGTTTGTTCAGTTAAGGTTTGAAAATGAAAGCTAGAAGCTGATTGGTTGTCATGCACAGCTGCTCCAGATTTTGTCTGCTCCAGTTTTAATAAATTCCCCTCAATGTATTTACAACATAAAAAAAGATATTTACATTTCCAGCTACAAACTGCATAAACTTTTATTTTCCTTAACTGAGGAATTTTATATTATAGGTCTAGATACACAACTATTACTCTATACCCATGATAAGGTTGGGATTCTACATACGTCTCTTTGCTTTGATTAGGTTTTGAGGACACTCCGTATGAGTGGGAGTCAGCAGACGTTTCTCCACACACTGACAGAATGTAAGATCCTTGGAATGACTTTACACTGCAGATGGGACAACAGGTTTACTCTAATCCAGTATTGTTGGCACATGAGTAGCTTTACACCCTGAACTCAAGATAGTTCTAGTGCTTCTTGAAATGAATCAATGTCACAAAACACGGCAATGTAGTGAGTGCATGATGGCCTCCTTGTGGGACTGGGTGATGGAGGCACTTTAAATATAGATTTTTTTTTTACAGAAAAGGTTTATTATTATTATTTGTTCTGTTTTTTTTTTAATATAAACTGTGTATTTGATCATTTAAATGAGTGCTAGTGTACCTCCAATTATCGATTCTCAATGCACAGCATCACTGTGAAATGTCTACTATGCAATACATCTTTGTGTTTTACTTTGTTTATTACATAAATGCAGAAATGCCAAACAAGTATCTCCATTTAGCCTGGTAGAAACACAACATGCTATATATATATATATATATACTGTAGAAGTAGTCATCAACAGCTTTGTCTCCATTGTTAAGATGATCTCTAAAACAGCAATTTAGCAAATCATTATGCTAAGTGCAGAGATTCTAGGAAAATACATCATGCTGGAATAAGATATCCATTACCCAGAGGTGAACACTACCTTTATATTCACAAAAGATCCAACTGAAGCTCAGTTATGATATTGCAGTCATTTAAAGTGACTGCTTTAACCCTTTTCCTGCCACCAACGTAAGGCATACGACTTTAGCGACCATGAACTTATATCAGCACTGTTCCCCGGGCGGTCCCCTTTAAATTAATAGCGGTCATCAGTGGCTGGCAAGCCGCTGATGACAGCTATTAACAAGAATTCCGGGCACCCCCCGCCAGCACAGCTGCCGCTGGCATTTTCAGCCTCTGCTCCCTGCCTGGAGCCGCTCCAGGCAGGGATCAGTGTCTGTATGAATCCCCGCTGCTCTCCCCCGCTTGTATGGGCTGAGGCAGCGGGGATCCAAATAGAAATGGCCGGCCGGAGATAGTTCTCTCCTACTCTGTAAAAACGTATGTATGTAAAGAAATTGGTCATTGGGAAACACTCTTGAACGTTTTTTTGTGTGATTCCTGGTCTATTGATAGATAATGTTTACACTGAACATTGAATAGAGGTGTTATGATTTCTTAAAACAGGCACATTTATTGTATAAGGTAATAGTATCTCAGGTTTTGGGCTGGGCTTTCTTTTTTAGCCTTTGCTATGAGAGAAGGAGGCCGTTTTAATAAGGTTTAGTTTTGCAGATATAGGGAGGCCCTGTTCTGCACCCATTTGTAATAAATAGCCACTCTTTTGCTGTCCTCTTTATTAAAATGTCTAATTCCTCTGCTATGATTTTTCTCAGTTTTCACAGATAAAGAATGCATTTCAGCAGTCATAGGTTAAAGCTCATCAAACAGAAAATGTCATACCCTATAGCCCATTTTGCATGTAAAAAATACAATGATCATTCCTCCATACCTGTCTGATCGTCCGCCCTCCAAGCTGTACCTCAAATAGGTCATACCGTCCAAATACTGGCTGCTTGGCAGAGAGTCATCTCCTAATTCTTTTAAATCTTCAGGTCGCAGGTACTCACCACCATCCCCGGTCATTGTATCATCTTGTAAAAAATCAAGTAGAACACTTAATACTTGACAACAGTATTTTACACCTATCACCATACCGAACATGGATCTGGAAATGGTCACTACCACATATATGAATATTGTAGCATTGCAGGGGCATATGCATATTTGCATTGCTGATACAACAAGCAGCAATATAGCAAAATAACTACAGAAGACTAGCTCACAGAATTCAAACCTTTCTCATGCTTTTATTGTATGTTAGATTACTAAATTGATTTAAAGCTCAAATTTAGCGCAAACCTTTTATTTTAGTTTGGGAATGGATGAATCTCCTGCTATGGCTACTTTATCCTGACAGCCGATACCCACAGAATACAAGAACAGTGAGTGCAGATGATTGCCTCTCATAGCTAAATATTGATGGCACAGCTCCAAAAGAAGATTACACCGTCAATTATTGGCAATAGAGTTGAGCCACCCACTGTAAGAATTTATTCTGAATTGGCCAAATTTCTCACAGTGCCTTAGTTTCAGCTGGAGAGATTTCCTATTACTTCCTGTTCCAACAGGTAGTGAGCAGGAATCTATCAAATGGGGTCACAGACCATTAATACAATTCAGAGAATGGTTCTATCCTTTCCCCACTCTGTCTAAAACAACAGCAAAAAAAACTGGACTGGAGATGTGCTTAAGTAAAGGCTTCCACCAGCAGCTGCATTAGAAAGCAGCCACTTGTGTTGGAATCGGTGCTGAAACACTGAAAAATGGCAGTGATCACACTGTAACCTTTATTTTAACTTTATTGAAACGTCACAAAGTGTCACAATAAGAGGCGTGATTAGAACCCTCAGGGTCCCAGTGCAAGAAACCATGAAGTTACCCAGCCCTCTTTTTTCTTTCAGGGCCCCCCAAGTGATGGAACACCAGGCTCCAGTCACACATGCGACCGCTGCAACCCTGGTAGTTCCGATTGTGGTCACAACACGTTTCAGTGAAAAGAAGTACTGCATAGTACTCTTTCCTGTGCACACCTTCACGATGTGATGATGTGAACTGACTCTATTGTAAACAAGGTAATTTGCCTTGTCTATGCATTAGGAATGTGCAGCTTGATACACCTGTTGTGAACGGGCCCTAAGACAGTCATATATTTTCTATCACTTACAGTATTAAACTTTTACAGAAATTGGTTATTTTGGGGGTTGCTGTTCCTAAAAGAAACATACATACGGAGAAATACAGAGGCTAGCATTGCTAGCCTCACCTTCTGAAAATGCTACTTGTCTGGCTGTCATACTGATCAAATGGCTTAAGCAATGTATGCAGTTTATTCCTGGAACAAATATGCAGATCAGATTTCAGAAGGAGGTCAGCAATAGCAGCCCATGTATTATTCTCAGGAAAATATTTCTCCAGGGTCTATTCACACATAATTACATTGTGCATATGTTTTTCTGTGTTGAGGTGCATTGAAGGGCAAACCGTATTGTGTGTTGAAGCACAGGTGTGTTCTGGTGCTGCTTTGGGGATCTATTCAAAATGAATGGCACCACAGTGCTGTGGGCAGTGGCAGAGGAGCACAAAAATTCTCGCTGGCACACACTTGCCAGCAGCATCAGTTTTTGCTTTGGAGATGTCACCTCTCCAAGCCTGTAGGAAAATTCCCTGCCTCTGAAATAGGAATGCACCAATATCAAGTAACGTACTCGGTACACAAGTACAGATACTTTTCGAGCTCCAAGACTAGACTAGAGAAAAATTCTAAAGTTAGGAGGCAGCTGTCATTTGTAAGGAGCACGCAGAGCTCCTGGGATTTGTACATCTTTGTTTTAATTTATGATTTCGTTTTTATAAACATATATAAAGGGATGCACCGATACCATTTTTGCAAGTACAAGTACTGATACTTGCCCAAGTACTCACAGGTACAAGTACGGATACATTTTAGTTTAGTGTCATGTGACAGTTTTTCTAAAACAATATTGACTAATGATTTCAGGATAGTGGTGGAGAGCCAGGGCCCTGACACAGCTACAACTGCTGCAACCCTGGTAGTTCTCATGAAAATGCCAAGTATCGGCCCTGGTATCTGAACAGGTATCGGTGCATCCCTACTCTGAAACTTCAAGTGCCACTGACAGAAATGCTAAGTGAAGTTGTCGGAGGCGTTTCTATCTGCAGCACAGAGGTAACTTCACACAAACAGAAATAATAGAGGCCGAGCAATAAAATGTGATCAGCCTCAGCCCTACACAGATGGCGGACTAATCTCAGCTTTTAGTTTATGTAAATAAATGACAACCACGGCTGCCTTAATACCCAACTAGTGACTGCATCAGACAGATTGCAGTCACTGTTCAGCCAACCATTTTCCACCTGGCAATCGCCCAAAATTCAAGCAGTGTATGGCTATCCTAACTCAAAGAGCAAATGCACTTTGCAAATCCCAGCTCCAGGATGTAAACTGCCACCATAGTCTCAAATGTGCCTGGTTTCCACTGGAATTTTTGTCCTCAAACCCCCACCATTTCTCTGCTGTGTGGGCGGCAGAAAGGGACAGGAGCTAGTCGGGGATAGGCAGAACCGGAGCAAGAAGAAGCGGAGCTGAGCATAGGTAGTATGCAGACATGAGCTCCATTACGTCAGTGCTACCTGATGCAAAACCTGTTCGTGTGACCAGTTGCCCAGTGCACAAAAAGCCTCTGGGATGACTGGTCACCTGAACAGGAAGCTAAGATGCTGGAACCCTTCTGAGGCAAATGTCCAACAGCCATCTCAAGGGAATTGATCTGACAGGAAAGGAAAAGAGGAAGATTCTGCATAAGATAATCTTATTGTGTGCAATCTTCTACCTGCCAGTAGTTGAGATTGAACATAACAGAAGGAAGCAACCTATGTGCCTTCACCGTTGTTTGAATAAATATAACTAATAGAAAGACAATGGACAGAGGTATTACAAAATACTAGGTTTATTATATAACATGCTTTTCACAAGTAGTCCTCCTTAAACACCACTACACACACCACCATTGTTAATTTGTTTCTCTCTCCTGCATATGTTATATTGAGAATGCAATATTAGAAAATGCAAGAGTCAACATACTTTCATCAAGTTCACTGCAAAACACATCAATATCAAGAGCATTCCGCAATACTCTGCATACACCAATACCTTGATCACTAAGAAGTTCTTCATCAGACAAGAGCTCACCAGCAAAAAATTTAAGAGCTGCACAGAGCAAATTTCAATGTGAAAGAAGTGAAGGAGATTTATGGAGCTAATAAAAGACCCTGCGGGGTATCTCACAACAGACACTGCTTGAGTTCATGAGAAGTTGCTGAGGAAATGTGCATGCAGACAAAACAATGTAGAAGAAGAAAATAAACTAGTTCATGGAAATGTGACATAAGTGTACCTATCCTAGTTCGTTACACTTACAATTATACAAATACAGCTACATAACTATACAGCTGTCGTTGTTTTAGGATCAGAATGTGTAGGTTAGTTACTTTTGATAATGTACTGAAAAACTGTGGACTACTACAAACTTTTAATTTGATGGGAAATGTCAGCAATTACCAGAAACATTTCATATCCCCTCACATTATAAAAGTCAATCATTTACAGATGAATTAAAATAATATGAGGCTTTTGTGCTAGGTATCTATTTTTAATATGAATTCTAAAGGTAACTGTTCTTCAGATTAAAATGGTTTCCAGAAGCTACATGTCAGCTTTAGAATGGGTTGTCCATACCAGTTGGCTATTTTGTGCAATTAACACTGTATACTTCTGCAAGACTTCTGAGATTCTTGCAAGCTAATAACTGGCACCTAACAACACTTTTTTTCTGCCGAGCAATGCATCCAAAACTAAAAAAGCATACACAAGTATAAAGCTGTTCAGAGACTCCAACTTTTCTATCTTATTTCTCCACTCTAAATTTTCCCAGTGCTGCTTTTGCCCTCAATTGACGCAACTGCATTTTGCGTCATCCATAACCAGATTAGTCTTCCTGGAACAATATTATCAGTCATCATACCACCTACTTGATCATAAGCGATCATCAAGCTGAATCAAATTGATTCATGCTGTTGGCTGAATCAAATGTCAGCCAACAGCAGCTAATATTAGTTCTCCTTGTAGCAAGCTATTACTTAACTCATCAGTATATTCTTCTCTTTTTAATAAACCTGCCATGATTGTAAGCAGAATACTGTTTGTTTATTACCTTATAAGAGGCACAAAAGGATGCTTACACATACTTTCATTGCTAGAAGTTTACTTTTGAACCCAAGGCATATGCTACATGCAAATCATGCACCTATAACATGCTCTGACATTCTCACCTCACCCACCTGTCCCAAACGTTCCCTTAAGGGATTTCTTTTTTGACAAAGTGGTTGCATCTTCCACCCAGTGGCATAACAATCGCCATAGCGACCCAGGGGGCCGATATGGGGCCCAGGCACAGGGGGGCACGGCCATGGCATCCCTCTGATGACGTGCGGGCCACCTGGGTCGCTATGGCATATCAGGGTGCAGGCTGTCAAGAGGAACGCACCGCGTTCTTCCTCACATCCGCTGCTGAGCTGATGGGGCCAGTGATGTAAGGGGAGGCAGGGCCCATCGATAGAGGAGAAGACAGGGCCTGACGATGAAAGAGGCAGGGCCCGGGGGCGGAAGAGGAGGTGGGGCCCGGCGCTGGCAGGTATGAGGTGTGCAGCCCACCTGAGACCCTGCAGAGCCTGCCATAGATTCTATGGCTGGCTCTGCAGGATCACTCTCAGGTGTATCTGTATCAGGTGGGCTCTGCAAGGGGCATAACTAGAAATCACAGGGCCCCATACAAAATTTTGCTATGGGGCCCTGTGATTTCTTGTTACGCCCCTGCTTCCGCCCTAAGAAGTGGAGTTCTGATGTGTAGAGGGAATATGGCAAAACTTGGAATACATGGAATTATGGGAATGTTCAAGGGAATTGGCAGCAGCATATAAGACCTTAAAGTACGCCTGTCATGACAGAAATAGGTAGACTGCCATTTTTTACCTCACCGTTTCTCAGAGAACGCTAGTCTCCTGGATGTTTTGTTGATGCTTTTGCTTCAGTGCAGTGTCACTGACCCAGAACACATCCATGTCATACATGCATGGCATGCATGTACTGCATAATTGTTTAAGTCTGGGATATTAAGAATCAGGCCATCAATGGCAGCTCCTATATACTTTTACTGACAGATGTACTTTAAGTAAGCTGAAATATCAAGATCTGCAAACAAAAGTTTTTGGATTTCCAACGCATACAGAAGCCATTTTAACAACAAGTGAATGTATGTGCAGCTATCATTAGGTATAATTACAAAATGTATTCAGTATCTTCTGATGATAGATCACTTCAAGCAATTATTACTGGGTAATGGTAGATTACAAGCAGAGAACATTTTACAACCATGTAATAAAATGTGTTTAGAATGAGGCAGGGGTGTACAAAATATTGCAAAAAATATTGATACCCACCTTCTTCATCGGAGACATCCAGCACCTCAGTCATTGTTTCTGGAACATTCAGCTTGTGTTTCTCTGTCACAGTCTGCACAAAACAAGGCCAACATAAGCATAAGGCAAGAAAATGCACTTCTGTATGTTATAATGTAATTTTACAGCATCCTGTAATAAAGTGATTCATCCCATAAAACATATGTGGCAATGTAAGCCAATACCACGGTGTTAGGTGGCCTCAAAGTCACCCAGGGTTCTCAGCCAGAGGGGCTGAGTGGCTCCAGGAAGACAGTACGTGTACCAGGAGAGAACTGCCTTTTCAGTTATTTCCAGGTTGTCTGGATCATAGTTGGGATCCTGGAGCCAGGAGATTTCTTAGAGCTCTGGGTGGGATGAAATCTCCATTCCTGGGTCCATGCTTTGGTAGTGACCAGCACCTGATTGTGCACCTGTGTACATCCTTCATGAAGAGTGTGCTGGGATGTGTTCAGGGCCCCACCTGTGAGTCAGGAGAGCTCCACCCTGGGGAGTGTTGGAGTTGTGTGCGTGCAGGGAGCACACGGACACAGACCACCTCGGGTGCATGCTAGACGCACACGGAACAGCCAGGGGTGGCTGGGAGAGGTCAGGAAGGTCGGTGACCCGAGGACCTGCGGTACAGTCTGCTAAGAGAGCAGAGTGAGGGCTCACGAGGGGTGAGCAGCATGAGTGTCTTGTAGCTGAGGAAAGCTACAGAGCCATAACAAGGACTGTCTTATGTTGCTGTTTCAAGCTATTTTGTGTTTGCCCTTTCAATAAACTGTGTTTCCTTGACTTACCTGGACTACAGTGGAGTGTCCTTGTTACACATAACACAGAATAACCAGGAGGAAACAGATTTAGCACTGGCCATAAAAGATGATGGACTTTCTGAGTGAGATGTTAAACCTTTTCACTTATTCAAAGTGATACATGTGTTGAGTTTTTAAGATAATAAAGTGGACCCGTTGCCAGGCTTTGGACTTTTTTTTAAAGGTCTTTGGTCCCTTTTAGGTGACAACAAGGGTTTTATTCTGTCCTCAGCGATGGGTGGGTTGTGCATACTGCAGAGAGCTCTGTCTGCAGGATTCACCTGTGAGCCGAAGACAGCCTGATGATGCACCCCAGAGGGCAATAGCTTGATGCTATGGATTTACAGGCAGTGGGTTGAAAAAACGTACTTCAATTAAACACGGAAGTGCAGCTCCATCTATTGGCATAAGTCTGCCTATCTGAGGCACTGTTCCCCACAGATAGGTTGAGTATTGCATCAAGAGCTGTTTTTTTATGTACATTTTTAATGAGGACTTATTTTTTTCATTATGCCAGTAACATGCAGTAAATTAGCTCATTTAACTGAACTTCTGGTCCTGCAAGGGAGACATTGCATTCACTAAACAAAGTATGTCCTGGTACTCTGACCTAGCCTTGTCCCAATTGTACATGATCAATTCACATAAACAGGTCCACATTCCTTGTTTGTTCCATTGACTGTTTATTAAACGAACAAGAAGCACTCTATGACATTAAAGCAATGCTGACCTGTTCTTTGTTTATTAAACCTTCAATCAATCGAGCAAGTAACATGGGCCCATTTATGTCAATTGAACGTGTGTAAGCAGTAAATAAGCTTTAAAAAAGCCCTCACTGACCTCTGTAGCTGCAGACATTGAGGTATAAATCAGACTCAAATTTCACTGCAAAAGCACTTAACCAACTTAAAGTGACAGGAGTTAAATCTTCAAAATGCATTGAAGTACCTTAACTATTACCAAAAATGGACCTTATTTATGTATCACTCAGCTGTAGATCCTTGAATCATCTCTGAATTGGTGCTGACACTGCCCTTCCTTCTGGAGGGTGGCTTCTTTTGTTTCCCATGGTCCTTGTGTGTGTTGTAAAGTAGTCATCACTCCAAGCTCGCTCCTGTGATGGACTACAATCTTATGCCCAGTTTACTCATTTGTATTGTAATTGTAGTCTATCACAGAAGAGAGCTTGGAGCAGTAGCTACTTTACAACACACACAAGGACCATGGGTAACAAAAGTAGCCACCCTCCAGAAGGAAAGACAGTGTCAGCACCAATTCAGAGATGATTTGAGGCTCTAAAGCTGAGTGATATACAAATAAAATACATTTTTGTAAATAGTTAAACACTTGAATGGATTTTTAAGGTTTAATTCCTGAGTTTAATACTGCTTGGTGGGATGAGAGCTCAGAGAATGAATTGAAGTACTTCAGTGCTTCTGCTGTGAAATTTGAGGATGCATTGCTCCACTGTGCCTGCAGCTAAAGAGGTCAGTAAATACTTCTCTTAAAGCTCATTTTCTGCTTACTAAAAATGTTTAAATTTGTGAATACCCATATCCTAGCTACTCGTTCATTAAAAATGTATTAACTTGTGAAATTAAAAAAGAAAGATAATAAATAGATTTATCTATTAATTGTGCATATAAAATAATGACTGAGCTTGTAATGGGGAGAGGGAATGATAAAAATTTGAAGGGTCCAGGTCCCACTAAATTTATTATAACTGGGGAACAAAAGCAATATTCACTCTGCAATACTCCTCTCTTTTGTAGTATTGTGTCTAGTACACAATGATAGGTCCATTTCAAGCTTTAAAATATAATGTAAATGGAGTATATACTGTATATCAGGATAATAACCATGTGGGAGTTGTGCATGAGTTCTTTAAAAACGATGCAGGGGTTTCGTGAGCTGTTGATGAGTTAAAATGTGTTTGTGTCTTTTCACTGAATCTGTGACAGATTTTTATAGACAAAGATAGCATAGATATAACAGCCGGCAGGTGGGCAGCACTGAAGTTGGTGCAGAGAAGGGGAGGGTGAGTACTGGGATGCATACATATAGTACTGATTAGGCAAGAACCTCCCTGTATGGCTTGAATAAATGCACAACATGCCTGGTAGACAAGCTGGAAACTTGGAAAAGTTAGTTTGGCAGTGAATTTGAGTCAGTTATGTAAAGGAACAAACCAAGATTTTCACAGCCATAAAATTATGCATAACCGATGCCAAGGTTTTGTTTGAAAACGCTGTGAAAATTGGCAATCTGCCGACTTCTTTGCATTGTGCCATAAGCCATTTCAGCTCCCATGAACAATTCATCCTCCATTAGTCCCAGTTTACTAAGGTAGCAGTACTCAGAATTTATACAGATTTCAAAGCTATACTTAAACACTACTTTTTCGTGAGCTGTGGCAAACTTTAGCAACATGCATCAATACAGGTCGTTGTGCTATATCAGCAAAGGCCCCTTTTCACTCGTACTCAGGCTCAGATTATATTTATAGTAAGTGATTGAGTTCTGCACAAATGCCAGGAGTGGCAATGTAGAAATTCCAGATTTTGTTAAAAAGTTTGGCCTATCTGGGACTATTTGTGGAAGCTATCAGGTCAGGTGCCATTATCTAACATTCCTGGTTTACTAAAAACAGCAAAACTTACTGGAGCTTATTCACACGCTGGGTTAGCACTAATAACATATACATATATGAATTGGTGTGCTACAAAAAAAAAATATTTCAAAATGACAACGTAATTATTTAGATGGTCTTTTTTTTGGAAACCCCAGAACTAAACAATCCCATGCAAATGCACTTTAAGCAATACCACTGGTGGTACATTATGTCCCACATGTTATCCTGCATCCAGTAACTATTCAGTAACTGGGCTGTGATGTTGCATCGTCAGTTCAAGAAGAAGAGACATAAAGATTATTATATGGCCGGCTAACATACACAGATCTGCAATTACATCACAAAGCAATGCATCATGTGATAGAAGTCTGTTTTTTATTTGTTGATAATTAATTTAACATGCTGCTGATTATCAGCAAATTAATGGAATCTTCATCACACACTGTGGCTGCCACATCTGTGCTATTTCACATTCAGGGGAATGTTAACCCATTTTAACCAAACAGAGATACAGAATTTAAAAAATGTAAGCTCTTTATGTACTGTATTGGATTTCCATAGTCTGAATTTCCCTCCTCTATGCTTGTTTCAGGTCAGTGGCTACCTACACCAGGAACAGGATAACAAACGTAGAGTCTTCACCTTTAAAGCTCAACTCATTTATTTCAGATTCTTTTTTTCTATGCTCACTGGTTTCCTTAAATAGGTGTTTTCATGCTTCTGCATGCACAATACTTTAACTTGTAATCTCTTAACGCACGTATATATTGGTACCCCTTACTGATTCACATTTCAGAAAACAACCCCCTCCATGCAACTTTGTTCCTAATAGGAACGAATAGGAACTTCCTATGCACTGCAGGTTAACAGGCATAGAACACAATAGGAAAAGTGCCAACCTATGTATATGATGTTTGGGTTTAGTGTCACTTTAATAAGAATCAGACAATAAAAGAAGGACTGGATGCTATAGTTAGTGCACTTAGCACTTTCCTACTTCCACTATTTATTAAATTAGTCCCTGCTTTCTGATAAGAAATTTTAAAGACACGTAATTAAATGCCTTGTATACGCCTTTAAATATACAGTATACTCTAACAATGCATATGTATTGTATGAGTTTATTCTGTGGGTCACAATACACAGTAACATTTCATTGTGAACAGGTTCAGTTCTCTAAGCTACAATGCATGCACTATTCAACAAAAAGATTGCTATTTTAAAAAATAAGAGTATTTTCAACTGTCAATAATTGTGCAGTATCTTAGTGAGCAGAGCCTAAGACGTACAAAATCTTTGCACACATGTCACACATACAAAGCCAGCCGAGCTGACTGACTACCTATGAAGCAAACTGCTGTACTATACTGTACGTATAGAGGTACTCACAGTGGTAGTTGTGATGACTTCCTCAGTAACAACCTTCAGTGTGTCCACCACAGAGATGTATCCTAGTCGCCTGGCAATCGCGAGGGCAGTATTACCATTCTGAAGAGGAAGATGGAGTGAGGAAAAGAGTGATATAACTGTAAGCAAATTAGTTCACATACAGTAAAGCAAGCGAGCCAGCCTTTCCATCCAAAACAAGGCACAGGAAAATGCGCTTCACAAATCTGTAATTTACTTCTGAAGTCTTTCTGTGCGCCTTTAATCCCCATAGCAACACAACACACTGACATCTGCCAGCTTCTCTGCATAAAAATGTTCTGTCTACTTTAAGGATGTCACGCACCAGCACAATTTGCCTTAAAAGCTAGCTGCTTAAGATGCTTACAAATGCAGGAATAGCTACACTGATGTTTCTGAAATATACATTCCCTTTAGTATTTTTAAAACATATTTTGCAAGAAACGGTTCTTCTATGAAATGGATCCCACTGTTCGTTTTAACCGGGGAAGAGAACAGACGGTAAAACTTGGATTCATTTGACTTCAGTGCTCCCTTAAGAAAAATAAAGCTACATAAACACATCTGACAGTCATTTAGAAGAAGTACAAGTAATTTCCATAGAGGAAATTCTTAGTCTACTGTCTACAAATAACTGACACCATAGGGTCATAAAATATATGCTCCAGAAACACTTGACATTAATCCTCTTGCCAATTTGTAAATATTCTACAGATGAATGTGTCATTCTCAGAAAGCGTAAAAGACCAGCTCCAGGCAAAAGTTATTATCATTTGGCAAACTGCTAATGCCAACTGGTACCGAATGAAATCTCATTCAATTTCATTTACTATGATTTGACAATAAATAAATACATAATTAAAAATTATGTATGTATATATATAT